CCTGTCCAACCCCCCCCCTTTCCTTTATTTTATTCACTAATTTTACTCCAGCTACTGTAGTGTAGAACGCCCCTCCCCACGCATGGGTTGAATAATTTTCTTCTCAAACTTCCTCACTTTTTTACAATTTTTTATTTTATCTATTCTTCTTTTATTCTTTCTCTCTTCTATTTTTTATTATTATTATCCAATGATGTAGATCGAAAGAAAATTAGAGCTGAAATTTGACGATTGTGCACTGTCATACCTGTCGAGCAACCTCTCGGAAAAATGCTACACCGTGGTTGAAATCCGGGAACACCAGACTGCCATAGCGTTTCACTTCGGGCAGAGGAAACACCTTGATCGTTACCTGAAATTTAGGACTTTCTCTAAAGGCGAAAGGCCCAAAAAGTGGCTCGCCAATGGGATTTAAAGGTGGAGGAGGCGAAGGGTGCGGTTGTAAAAAATATTGAGACGATGGGGACGCGATGAAATATTCCAATTACCAGGGATCATGCACACTGCGCATTCCATGAAACGGTACGGTTGGTCGATTCGAAGCTTAGTGAGCTGGTCTCTATTTCACATGAACACTTGGAGTGCAACCTTCATCGGTAAGCAAGTGATGGAAAAGTATCGAGAAAAGCGCCGACCCTGCTACCTAGCCTTCCTCGACCTGGAGAAGGCGTTCGACCGGCTACCGCGAGCAGTACTATGGAGAGCGCTCAGGGAACGGAAACGTGCCAGAACACCTGATCTCTCTGGTGAAGGACATGTACGATGGGGCCAAGGCAGCCCCACCCGGCCTAACAAAGGAGATAAACATCACGGTTGGGGTGCATCAAGGGTCAGCTCTTCCTGTTCCTCCTAACGATACCATGGTGAAGGGCCTCATGGAAGGACCACTGAAGACCATCCTCTACGCTGACGACATCGCCCTGATAGCGATAGCAGAGAGGAGCTCCAGGCATGGTCAACCCTACAAGTAACAACGGGGGGGGGGCGTAGTTTTTGTGAAGTTTGTGGTGGGGGGGTCGTACTTGTTTCGGTAGCGCGAAATTACATGTGATGAGGTGAGAGCGCGCGGGAGAAAATTTGCCGTTTCAGCGTGCGTATATACCCTTCTTTCCCCTCTCCTGAAAATGGAGTCGTGGAAATATAGGTGAAATGAAGGAAAACATAGGGAATTTACGCCCCCCCCCCCCGCTCGACGGTGTTTTTTTCTTTGAGGGAAAAAGTAGCTGTGAAGAGGGGGTCGTATGAAACTTCTCGTGAAGGAGGGGGTCGTAAAAATTTTGCAAAAAGTACCAACGATAGGACCGACCCTGGCTCCAGGGCGAAGTGCAAACATGGCAGGAAGTGTTGGCAGAAGGTGGGCTCCGGCTGAATGTCAAGAAGACCAAGTTCCTGAGCTCCGAAGAGGGTGCAGAGCCGATCGTGGACGGGCATGGTGAAAGCATCGAAGAGTGGAGGACTTCCCTTGGGAGCGATCTGGCAGCCGACGGCAGTGTGGAAAGGCACGAATCAACGCGGCCTGGATGAAATGGAGGGAGTCCACTGGGAATCCTCTGCGATCGAAGGTGCTCCAGAACACTGAAAGGAAAGGTGTATCGGGCAGTGATAAGGCCTGCGATGTTTTACGGCAACGAGTGCTGGCCCCTGAACGGTGGCCGACCGTCTGAAGCGAGCAGTACTATGAAGACCGCTCAGAGAATGGAACATGCCAGAACACCTCATTCTCTGGTGAAGGACGTGCAGGCCAAAGCAGCTATCCGGCTAATGAAGGATTTGGATATCACACCAAGGGTTACCCTGAGACCGTTCAACGCCTTTCCACCAACAGCAACCCTCGGCCATCGTATCACTCTCTTCGAATGAAAACTAATAACTGCTTCTATGAAGAAATTCATCAGTTAGAAAACAAGTTGAAAACAAAAAACACATGAAAAAGAAGTACAAGTTGATCAAACCTCAGTCACCACTCCCAGTGTCCCCTCCGAGCCCATGATGACATGATGGAGATCGGGTCCGCTGGAGATTCGTGGCACCTGAACTAACCACTAGTAAAGTTTTGATTTCATTTAACAATGATCCTTTTCCTGATAAATGCACCGCAAATAGCTCGTTTTCAATTTTTTTTCAAAAGGATCGGAATAGCTATAGTGGAGCCAAAATTTTGGAAAAAAAGAAGGTAACTCACGCTCAAGAGTTATCGCGATATACGCTATGAATTTTTGAGCTAAACTTCGATAAAATGGAAGAACCTAGATGTTATCGCTATGATGACACTAAATTGATCGTGCACGTTGGTAACTTCGATGTTTCTTGCAATGCTTATGTTTGCAATTACACCAATAATAAGTCATAGACAT